AAATATGGTAGTTGTTGTTACCCTGCCTGGCGCCCGGCATTAAGAGATAAAACATGGACTGGTCGGCTTGGAGTCAGTATATTGTGTTAATGGGGTGTCCATGTTAAACTGCGGCATGGTATGTCACTTGTCTAGCATTATTAAATCGGCATTGGTCCGGACTAGTACAAGCGATCACACATACATACACACGTCGCTAGATAAGTGCAATAATCTTGGACGCGACGTTAAACCCCAGCTCACCTCACCTCCTTCACCTGCGGAAAGTTGGCATATCAAGAACCACAGTTAATCCTAATTTCCAATGAAGAATCCAATGATAGAATGTTAATTGAGTGGAGTATCTGTCCTGAACGTGTCTTTGAAACAAGGAAAATAGTTTTCCTCTTTTACAAACCTCATTATTTCATTCTTCCGATAATATTGGTGTGTATATATTTAAAAAAAGACATCAGTACTTACTTATACGTAAAAAGCGACTATACTTGTCGTAAGAGGTGACTAACGGGTGGTCAGGCTCGCTGACTTGGTTGATGCATGTGTGGATCGATGCTCATGTCATCAATCACCGGATTGTCTGGTCCAGACTCGATTATTTACAGACCGCCGTCATATAGCTGGAATATTGCTTAATGCGGCGTTAAACAACATATAAACTTACTAATAATTACAGAATAACCAACGAGATACGAAGAATTACGGATTAACCGTCACTGTGGATGAATAGTGATAATGCGGAACCTCTGTCCAGGGACTTACGGATTAATTCAATCACGAGGGAGAGATAATCCATCACTCGAAGTTTTGAGCAGGTTATTCCATATTTTACTCACTGAAATTTTAAGAGAGAAAATGAAAATAAAATACAACGTATAAAACGTAGCCCTACTGAGTAATGTAATCAATTTATGGCGTCATGAACAATACATGACGTCATCTAGTATTTCATCTCAAGATTAAAGCATTGTGACGTCATACGTCTTTAATTGACGAAATCAGAATCGAGAATCACCAAAAAATGCACACGTGTAAATACCTGACAGATATTACACACGATCATTCTACCCTTATGGGGCCGCCTCCGTGGTCTTGTGGTAGAGCGTCCGCCCGGAGAGCGGAAGGTCCGGGGTTCGATCCCCGACCGCGTCATACCAAAAGACGTTAAAAGATGGTACTTGTTGTTACCCTGTCTGGCGCTCGGCATTAAGGGGCTAAAACAAGGACTGGTCGGCTCAGAGTCAGTATACAGTGTCTGAGTGGGGTTAAACTGCGGCAAGGTATCTCAGTGAGCTAGCACTATAAATCGGCATCAGTCCGGACTAGTACAAGCAGCCACACAAACACACACACACGTGCATGCACGTCGCTATATAAGTGCAATAATCTTGGACGCGACGTTAAACCCCAGTTCACCTCACCTCACCTACCCTTATGGGTAGCGTTTCATTAAATCGGAATATCGTTGACCTAGAAATTTACCGGTTAACTCGGTTTATCTGTAAACTAGTGTGCATTAATCCACAAGTCATCACGAATCATTAGTTTGTCAGCAGCACACCATGTAAATGAGTTTCACCTGGGCGGTAAAGTGGTACCATCTGCACCAATTAGGCTGTTCTTCCGCGTTTGCCTGATACGCCGTGATATTTGTAAAATACCAGTCAAACTCACTGGCTACATGGTTGCACTACAAACAGTTTAAAGTAATAAAAGGTAGCTAAAACGACAGAACCCTTTCCACATCCAATAGAAATCTCTGCATAAGCAGAGTCGATTGTACAATTCCGACTGTATCATGAGCATATGTTTATGAATCACTACCAAATAGTAATGATACAAGGTGTTAGCTAAAAGGTGATCGTATTCTGCCCCTATGGTGTCATCAGTCACAAACACATGCAAAGGTAAGTCAATTGTTCACCGGAAACAAAACATGGGAACATATGGTACAAGTCAAAACAGTGAATTGCATCAGACATCATTTTTGTCATTGATGCGTCAAATTTGGAAATGTCCTCCACATGTCTACCATCAAACTTTTTTGAAAACTTTACTTAGGTCTTGAATGTTGTAACCTTGATCAAACAAATTCTGAGGAAGAGTCATATGACGCTCTTTGAAATCTTGGTAGAAAGAACATGCTCGTTTGTATCTCAAAAGTTGCGAAATATAGACACCAAAGGCTGGAGCTGCTGGAATATTGCTCGACATGCAGGGAAAGTTGACTATTGGAAAGTTGAAGTCATCTCGCTTGTCATACAGTCTTGTGAAGAGTGTTTTGTCACTCTGAATCTTTATGCACAGATCGAAATATGAAACAGATAAAGCGGTCTCACTGGTCTCCTTTATTTCGAGTTCAGGTGGATAAATCTGTGAAAGGGAAGTGGCTATTTGATTGTTATTGAACGATCATCATCGATCAGATCATCGATATACCTGAAGCTTAAGTAAAACGTCTTGGCCAAATTACCTTGTTTTCACTTCGTCAATCCGAACAGAAATTCTGATTCATATGCATAAAGAAACAGATCCGCAAATAGGGGAGCACAATTGGTGCCCATGAGATGCCTACTGCCTAAATGTCCCACCCCCAAATCTAACGTAGATGTTATCAATGCGGGAGTCCAGCATTTCACATATTGTTTTCTCAGTAAACTTCAGATGACATTTGCTTTAATTTTTCACAAATTGTCCTGAACCTCTGAATATAGATACGTGACTGTATCTGTGTTCACCACGTGTTAAAATATAACATCAAGGAATGAAGTGGTTCCTTATGTTTGTCATGTGGGATAGTGGTGTTCAAAGTTGAAAAATCAAGTGTATTGACAGAATGGAACTTGGTTCTTTTATGAGATTGCAAAAAGTCAAGCAAACCCATGTGACCCTTTGAGTTTTTGAGAACCCACATGGCATTAATACCACATGTCTCAAATACTTCACGGAATATAAAAAACCTTCCTTGACTGTATTAAGAACACCAGGCAAATCAGTGGTCAACAGTGTTAGCCTATCAATTGCGAAAAGACATGGTTGGAAGGTGCAGCTGCACGGGTCGTGTTCATGTTGGTTGGCCATCAGTGTATATCAGAAGATTTGTTTGTTGCCTAACGCAACACTCTCCAACTATAGGAGGGGCGGCTGTAAATAAACGAGTCCAGACTGGACAATCCAATGACCAATATTGTGAGCAACGATACACGCCGAGGTTAATAATGTCACGCAGCTACATCATATAAGTCACAGAACCTGACCACCGATCGTTTTAGTCGTCTCTGACGACCAGTATAACCTACTGGAGACCAATTATGCAGGGTCATACCCGGACTTTCTGCTATCAGTACAAAACCAGCTCTATTTGCCTCGTGTTACACATATGATGTTTATGACATCCGTCCTGAATAACCACTGGAAAAATACAGTTTGTTTGTTTGTAGTTTTATGCCGCACTCAGCAATATTCCACCTACAGGACATCGGTGTGTAAATTATCCAATCTAACTAAACAATCCAGTGATTGACATCATGAACATCGATCAACGCAGTTGGGATACGATGACGTGCATCAACCAAGTCAACAAGCCTGATCACCCGATTTCGTTTGTCGCCTCTTACGACAAGAAAATGCACAGTTGCCTCTTACGGCAGGGATGGGTGCCTAAAAGAACCTATTCTATACCCGGATGTTCACGAGTCTTGCAAATACTAGCGAAGTATTGGTCATTACTAACAGAAGATATGTATACACTTGAAAATCAGATTTGACAAAAATATAACAAACGTGGCGAAAATATTACAATCCTGAACACTGGGGCACGGGTGGCCAAGTCGTCTAAGGCGCAGCAATTATGCAGAGTTGCGTCCCTTGGGCACGCTACAAACCTATGATATTGGGTTCGAATCCCGGGTTCGCCCCGATTTCGTTTCTGGGTTTGACAGCACCATGTCCGTTCACATGGTTTTCACCAAAGTGGTAAAAGTCTGAAACCTGCATCACTTCGGGTTTTCCTCCGGGCATATCGCTAGTATGCTGTTCAAATCATGTTAAACTCAACTCACTCACTTACTAGCCAGTAAACAGTCGCCGAAACACAGCACACTTAAGGTCCAAAAGACAGTTATAATACCCGTATAAAATACATCCTCATCGAATAAGCATGTTTTATTTGTTTCATCTTCAGCCTCCATTAATGGTTGTATATATTTCTTTTGCCCTACAGTTTAGTTGAGGGTTTCCTAATTAAACAATCGGAAGTTGTACATATTTGGTTTTTCGAATAAACAGATATTTTGATACATGGTCCTGTCTATGTAGATGTTAACTGTATTTTTGTCTCAAATATAAACAGTCAAAAGCTAAAACTAGCCAAGGACATGCTCGTTTTCCTTCTTCAACGCAAGAGGTAACATTCATTTCATGTTATGTTGTTTGTTTGTTTTTTAACGCCGCACTCAGCAATATTCCACCCATTTGACGGCGGTCTGTAAATGATAGAGTCTGGACCAGACAATCCAGTGATTGTGAACATCATGAACATCGATACACGCTATTGGGATACGATGACATGCATCAACCAAGTCAGCTGGCCTGACCGCCCGATCCCTCTTACCACAATAACATTCAAGGCCTCAATAAAACTTTCAAAAACCTTTTTGTTAGACATGTGGAGGACATTTCCAACTTTGACCGCATTAACTACAAAAAATGATGTCCGATGCAAATCCCTATTTTGACTTGTACCATATGTTCCCGTACAGGTGAACAATTGCCTTGCCTTTGCATGTGTTTGTGACTGGTACCACCGGTGGGTCAGGCAATGCTCACCTTTTCGCAAACACCTCATATCATCATTACTTGATGGCGATTCATAAACATAGTCGGGATTAGATTTCTTGTGATTGTGGAAGATTTATTCGCTTTCATTGTGATGGACACGTTCGTAGTTATGTTATCTGGAGTTGTTTCGACTATATTTTACATGCGCTTGAAACAATCAGTAATGGAAGTGGGTGATGTGGCAACAGACATCCGGCGTAATTAATGTATATGTTTTCAGAAAAAAAGCATGTGTCTCTGCGTGATGCATCCATGTAAGAATAGTTTCTAGATAATTACAAGTTGTAATGTAAGGCACACAGACATGTTTGTATTTCAACTTTTCACAGCACAGCTCGTTTCTTCACAAAGGATGACATCATCACAAATTAACATGACAGCTTCTTTATAGAGCATGATAGTTGCTTTACAAAGCATGACATCACGAATTAGCATGACAGCTTTAATATATAGCATGGTCTTCAATATATAGCATGACAGTTCCTTTACAAAGCATGACATCACGAATTAGCATGACAGCTTTAATATATAGCATGACAGTTCCTTTACAAAGCATGGCATAACGACTTAGCATGACAGCTTCAATAAATAGCATGACAGTTCCTTTACAAAGCATGACGTCAAGAATTAGCATGACAGCTTCAATATATATATCATGACAGTTCCTTTACAAAGTATGACGTCACGAATTAGCATGACAGCTTTAATATATAGCATGCCAGTTCCTTTACAAAGCATGACGTCACGAATTAGCATGGTCTTCAATATATAGCATGACAGTTCTTTAACATAGCATGGCATAACGACTTAGCATGACAGCTTCAATATATATATCATGACAGATCCTTTACAAATTATGACGTCACGAATTAGCATGGCAGCTTCAATATATAGCATGACAGTTCCTTTACAAAGCATGACATCCCGAATTAGCATGACAGCTTAAATATACAGCATGACAGTTCCTTTACAAAGCATGACATCCCGATTTAGCATGACAGCTTCAATATACAGCATGACAGTTCCTTTACAAAGCATGTCATCACGAATTATCATGACAACTTCAATATATAAAATGATAGTTCTTTTTCCAAAGTATGACATCATCACGACTTATCATCATAGTTGCTTTACAATTAAATCATGACAGCATGACGTATCACATAATGACAAGTAGTATTCTAATGTACACATAGGAGTGGGGGCTAATAAAGGACACACACAATACAATCACGTTCTCGTGTTCTACAATATTTGGATGAGTTCATGCTCACGTTCTTTGACCAACGACATCAAATATTTCCTCCATCCATTGTCTGATTTAACGCCATCAAATACGCGAGCAAATGTTATATTTGTGTCGAAATACTGTGGCTCATAGTAGCAGTGGTGGATCTGAACAGCCGGCCACATTGGTTCAGTAGTGTTAAGCTTCCTCGCTGAGCCAATCACCTTCCGCGTCTGACCATCCAGGACATGAATTGTCGCCCTTTGCATGTCTACCAGGAAACCGAGTTCGATCTGAAAGCGGCCGCCATGTTTGACTTTCTTGGGAAGAGTGTATCTATCCAGATGTTTTGAGCTGCTCAGGATGTCGATGATGACCTCCTCACGCATGTTGCTGTACCAGACGTTGACGCCGAACATGTTATGTTGGTACAAAACGCCAGGGTCTCTGAGATTGTCGATGACGTCCTGTTCGCCGATGTAGACGTCAAAGATGTCGTAGAGACGAGCTTTGTCAATTTTCGCTGTGCGGACGATCTGCACGTCAGCTTTCACCCCAAAGTAGCCGATGTCGGTTTTGAAGAAGCATCTGTTGCCGACGGCGCCCGTAACATTCGACAGTTCCCTGTCATGACGGTTGATCGGGTCCTTGGTTGTCTGGTTGTGAAGAGCGCCCTCTTCTGTGAAAGTGACATCCTTATGGCCTGTCTCTCGGTCAAATGCGATAGACGGACCTGGAACAAGATGTACAGACTTGAGTCAGTACCTATCGTGATGTGTCTCCGGGGGCGGAGGGGTAGTCTAATGGTTACAGTGTTCGCACGTCGCGAGTAAGGCCTGAGTTCAATTCCCCAATTCAGGCAATATTGCTAAAATATCGCAAAACCTTTTTCACTCATTACTTTTCTTTTGGCCAACACGAGTAAGTGAGTGAGTGCGTATGGTTTTACGCCGCTTTTAGCAATATTCCAGCAATATCACGGCGGGGACTCCGGAAATGGGCTTCACACATTGTACTCACGTAGGGAATCAAACCCGGGTCTTCGGCGTGACGAACGAACGCTTTAACCGCCAGTCTACCCGACCGCCCCTAAGCCAACTCGAAGTCAACCGTGTCGATATTTTGGATAAAACGATGTGTTGTACTTGTTCTAGTGTGACATCATTGTAACGGACCTGTTAAGATCCGGGTTAGAATTCAGAGTGAGTGAGTGAGTATGGTTTTATGCCGCCTCTAGCAATATTCCAGCAATATCACGGCGGGGGACACCAGAAATGGGCTTCACACATTGTACAGAGTTGCGTCCCTTGGGCACGCCAGAAACCTATGATTGTTGAATCGAATCCGGATTCGCCCCGATTATGTTTCTAGGTTTGTCAGCACCATACCCGTGCTCGTGGGTTTCATTGATGTGGTAAACGTCTGAGAACTGCATCACTTCGGGCTTTCCTCCCACATTAAGCTGACACGCCGAGATATAACTGGAATACTGTTCAAAGCGGCGTTAAACACAACTCACTCACTGATATAACTGGAATACTGTACGAGAAGCGTATACCCAACTCACTCACTCACCATATGTTATTTCAGGATCTATGATGTTGTTCTATAGATTGCATACATAATACATGAAGAAAAGTTGAGATATTATTTCACGTTTTAAGGTTTCAGTTTGTGAGGGAGTTTAGTTTCACAAAGCTTTGAATATTATTTCAATCATATATCACGGCGTGACAGCTGGAAAGGAACGTGAAGTAGATAGTGGTGCAGTGCGAGTGAATGAGTTAATATTTAACGTCACATCGGCAATATTTCAGCCATATCGTGACGAGAAGTTATACATAAATAATACATTTATTTAGACTTTATAAAAACCTGTCATCGAAGGACAGTACGATAACTAGAATATTACTGATAAGAATTAAAACTAGTTGAGGAACATTTAAAAGCAGAAAGAATGAGTTAACAACACAATATAAAAATGGGCTAGAGATCGTCAGTAATTAAGGTGAGGTGAGGTGAAATGGGGTTTAACGTCGCGTCCAAGATTATTGCACTTATATAGCGACGTGCATGTACGTGTGTGTGTTTGTGTGGCTGCTTGTACTAGTCCGGACTGATGCCGATTTATAGTGCTAGCTCACTGAGATACCATGCCGCAGTTTAACATGAATTCCCCACTCAGACACAGTATACTGACTCCGAGCCGACCAGTCCTTGTTTTAGCCCCTTAATGCCGAGCGCCAGACAGGGTAACAACAAGTACCATCTTTTAACGTCTTTTGGTATGACGCGGCCGGGGATCGAACCCCGGACCTTCCGCTCTCCGGGCGGACGCTCTACCACAAGACCATGGAGGCGGCTCGTCAGTAATTAAAGGGAGATCACAATACTAGGGACCACGGAGACTTACAGTGCCTTTGCTTCCTGCATGGACACCGGCAGAAGTGATGCAGGTCTCAGACGTTGACAACCACGGTGAAACCAACGAACAGGGGCATGGTGGTGACAAACCAAGAAACAAAATTAGGGCGAAACTGGGATTCGAACCAATGACAATATTCTGGAACACCCGAGGAACGCAGTTCTGTACAACGGATTACAGCGCCTCAGGCTGCTGGACCACCCGTGCCCACTTTACGATTTGAAGGCAGAGAATAAAATGGGGATATGCTTTAGATTAATATGCCCAAATCGTAAATATACTTACATCTCAGAACGTTCCTTTGTGTCGCTTCTTCCGATTGCAAGGCCTTGCCGCGTTCCTCTGAAATAGTTATATTATCAGTGACAAACGTAGGAAATTGTGTATCTCTAGTCTTTAAAAGGCATTTAGAAGTGACACCAATAGGGAAGAGAATGGATGTCAAGTTCTTTATTATGAGGAACACAACGTTTCGGAGTATATGCTTCATCAGGTGAATGAAGGAGTAAGCGTATTCTCCGAAACGTTGTGTTCCTCAATGTAATGAAGTTGACATCCATAAATTCTCTTCCTTTGTATATCTCTGTTTTCGAAAATCTTTTTCACATTGTTCATAGTATTTATATATCAATAAATTGTGATCCTTCATATAACCGATGCATTATATAATTGAACTTGAACATTTCTCAAAACATATATGAACCTCTCAGTTCTCCATATTTTTTTCTGTAGACCTTGGCGTCACGTGATAGTGACGTCATCAGGTCTTTGTTGGCCTCCAGGATGTCGATGTGGAGTTGGTCAAGCTTGTCCTGGCGGTCTTGTTCCTGAGTGGACAGAGAAAGAGAGTGAGTGAGGCAGTGCCGTAGCCAGCCGGGGGGCAGGGAGGGCAGTTGCCCCCCCCCCCCCCCCCCCCCCCCCACAAGATTTGTTATAGAAAACAGTTTTATTTGAATCAAGTTGGGGACAAGTGATACTTGTACAAATATTTGCCCCCCCCCCCCCCCGTCAAAAAAAGTTAACTACGGCTATGTGATGAGTGAGTGAATTAAAATGTAACGTCGCATTGAACGTCGAGACGAAATCAAAACACTCAGTGGCAGAGATAAATTATAATATTTTCATGCAAAAATCCTTCCCAGTGCAAAGTCCACACATTGCAAAATCTGCTTGAAGGTAACCCCTAAACTAACACGAGAGAATGTATCTCGGCGGCTCATCGTCATCACTTATCACGTAATCAGTGCTCACCATTATACCGACTGTGGTCAATACGATATCGTTGTTAAATGAACTTATCACGACTAGACTAGAGAGAGACAGATCTTCAGATTTCCAGACAGTGCGACGTGTGTGATAAGGGACGTAACTCTGTACACCCACTCGATCGCCTGCTCAGCCACAACACCGTGTGCTCTACCACGCATATGTACTATGTAAAGATATGCTATTATGGGTACCCAGCCTAAACATTTGATTCTGTCATGTGTTGAATTTGGATGCACCTATTTCAAATATTCTGACAGAAAAGCTTATTTTCCTATATTTTTTATTGTTCCTTTATTCGTATATACATTTAAATTATATGAATTGTTTCATTTTCATCATCATCATCATCATCATCATCATCATCGTCGTCGTCGTCGTCGTCATATTATTATTATTATTATTGTTACATGTACATGTATATCTGTGCTACAAACATGATAACATATGATCATTATCCTTCTTACAACAACCACTACTACTACTAGAGTAGTAGTAGTAGTAGTAGTAGTAGTCGTAGTCATACCTTAATCAGAAGGCGGCTATGCTTGTCGTAAGAGCTGACGAAGGGGATAGGGTGGTCAGTCTCGCTGACATCGTTGATGCACGTCATTGTCTCCCAATTGTGTAGATCGATGCTTATAATGTCAATCACTGGATTGTCTGGCCCAGATTTGATTATTTACAGACAGCCATCATATAGCTGGAATATTGCTGAGTGCGGGGGTAAATAACAAACAAACAAACCTTAATAAGATCCATGAATATCCTACACCGACAGGTGCCGTCTAGGGTGTGCTTCTCGTGTTTGTCAACCTCCCCCTTGTCCGCTTTGTCTTCCTCCAGCTTCGCCATGCTCTCTGCATTCAAACAAAACAACGCGTAGACATGATCTCATATACTACCACTTTACCATAGAATCAGAGCGAGACAGAAACACTCATCATCCACTGAAATCAACCATCACAATGTCAGAGAGTCACGAGTGTGTGAGTTACATTAAACGTCGCATCGACATTTTTTTAGCCATATAGCGACGAGAACAAGTTTTTTTATATATGCAAGCACGTCCTAAATACCAACTTATATAATAACGAAACTTTGTCAACACAAAATAATTTACAACTGTCAAAAAACACGGGCTATAATCCACCAGCAACCAAAGCGGGTCACCTCGTTGGGAGTCATGGGGACATACGATGTCTCAGCTTCAGAAGTCCCCATCGTAATAAAAAGACGAAGTGGGGTACTTTTGTTGGTTTGCTGTTAAACGCCACCTTCGGCAAATGATCTATCAATAATCCATAAGACTAACCAGTGATCGATATTATGAACAACTTCGTTGTATGATGAAAAAGAGCACCATCAGGAAAATACCACTCGAATTCTTTATCGAAAAGATAGCTAATAATATATCTTTCAAGCTACTACAAAGTTTTTTGGTTTGTTTGTTGTTTGACTCCGCACTCAGCAATATTCCAGCTCTATAACTGCGGTCTGTAAATTATCGAGTCTGGATCAGACAATCCAGTGATTGACATCATAATCATCGATCAACGCAGTTGGGATACACTGACATGCATCAACCAAGTCAGTGAACCTGACCACCCGTTCCCGTTAGACGCCTTTTACGACAAGCATAGTCGCCCTTTACGGCAAGCATTACAACAAAGTAAACTGCCTGGCTAAAGAAAGTATATACTCATGTTTTATGGGTATTCGATGATGATGTAGTTGATAAGGGTACATAATTGTGGTTTGGATCTTGCAGTGTTTCAGCGACTGTTCTGATAACATTTGTAATAGTTTGTTCAAATCCGGTTTTCAAGCGAACGCTTTCTTTGCCTGGCGACCCGTGACGATCCAGGGTAGAGTAGGTCTTCAGCAACCCATGCTTGAGGTACAAGGCGACTATGCTGGTCGTAAGAGGCGAATAACGGGATCGGGTGGTCAGGCTCGCCGACGTGGTTGATGCACGTCATTGTTTCCCAATTGCGTGGATCCATGCTCATTATGTCAATCACTGCGTTGTCTGGTCCAGACTCGATTATTTACAGACTGCCGTCATATAGCTGGAATATTGCTGAGTGCGGCGTTAAACACCAAACAACAACAACTTTGCCTGGCAGTTTAGGTAACACTCAAACCTATTATTGAAGAAATGTACATGTCAACTTGAGCTTAGATGCTAAACATGTTTCATGTTTAATGAGGTGTATAAATGGTGCTGTTTTGCTTGGGAGACAGACTTAACGTGTGCATTGTGCTTGTTGTAAATCTGTTGTCAGTTGTGCGTGGTGCATACACGTCTCGTACACACCTCCAGTGTATATCATGGATAACTATCAGCAACCAGTGGACAATGCTGCACATATGCTTGTACATGACAGTAAATCTTCATTTCATCTCGGCCGCCTCCGTGAACTAGTGGTGGAGCATCCGCCGTGTAATACCAACATCAGTTAAAAGATGGTTCTTGTTGTTACCCTGCCTGGCGCTCGGCATTAAGGGACTAAAAGAAGAACGGGTCGGCTCGGAGTCAGTATACTGTATCAGTGGGGTGTTCATACCAAACTGCGGCATGGTGTCTCAGACATCACTGAGATAAGACCGATTACGATTTTAACAGGGACCGGTCAGGTACCTCACCAACAACCATAGCTTGACCAGCCTATATGTTGTTTTGGACGGATAATCGAGAATAGATGCTGAATAGTGAATAAACGTTACGATAAGTCTGGACCCGACAATCCAATGATTGACATCATGAGCATCGATCTACGATACGATGACATGCATCAGCCACCCGATCCCCTAAGTCGCCTCTTACAAGCATGGGTTGCCGAAGACCAATTCTGGCCCGGGTCTTTCTTGGGGGCGTGACGATAAATCAGATGAAAATGTACTATGGTGCATTGAATACAGCAACACGGTCACTTATATTCTTACCGCTAATGTCGGACAGCTTCTCATTGTAAGCTTTTGTGGTCCCTGTCAGTGTGGTGATTGCCTCCCTCGTCAGTACCTCCATGTCCTCCATGGTAACGAAACCTTTCAGTAACATAAATAACACAGGCAATAGTGAGTGGGTAAATAATAATAATAATAATAATAATAATAATAAGACTTTAATATGTCGTCACATTACCATCTCACCCTAACGGTACCTGTTCATTGCTGTGTGAATAAAGGTATATTTCGAAAGTAAGAATAAACGATTCAAATTAACCAAGACACTGAGACTGACAACCCGATCAATTAGACCTCTTCAAACACGGAATTCCCACGATATGAAAGTACGAATATTGTGATTTATCATATAATTGGTAGGTTTCTCGACAGGATAAAGCCAACGGATAAAAACGGTATCCGTTGGGGTCATATGCGGATAGAGATGCAAATATCAAAGGTCAAGTAGGGACTACTTTCACTGTTTATAAACAAACATGGCGTCGCCCTTGTCATTCGGGGATCGAGTCAGAATTAACCATCGGGAATCTGGATAAACTACAGGGATAATTGCTATCATTATCAAAAGAACAGTCTAATATACTGAAAATCTGTGTCTAACTGTGACGTAGCTAAGGCATTTTATAAGTTTTGTCAACTTTGGAGATATAAATTTCGAAACAATTTGGCGAGGGCACGAGGCCTAGCCAAGCGGGATCAGTAGCCATATCTGTGCTTGTAGACCTCTGCGGCTTGAAACCTCCTCCACAAATTAAAATAGTTGGATTTGGCGGAAATATGTTTGAATTGTTACCTTGTTTCGTTTTGTCGCTGTGTGTACATCTGACTACACTTCTTATTGTAATGACAGGACAGACCGACTGTCAACAACGTCTGACCTTGGCCGTGACGTCTCATAGACTAGGGTTAGAGTAGCTTCCCTTTGACAAAGGGCAGTTACTCTAGCGGACAGACCGATGGATTGCCGCGAAAGGCAATTAAAAACAATTGTTGTTTTGCGTATATGTTGCTTCGCCACTGTATAAGAAACAGATTTCAGTTGGAACTATATTGGCTCGCTAAATACAATGTTTATTCCTAATGCAGGATATTTACCATCCCCAAACACACTCGCGTGATAACCTCTATATACATGTAAGGCTAACAATAAGTGTATTCTTAAGAAATAAAAGGACAAATAGTTTTGTTTGATGAATATCTGGCAATATGTCCGCTTTACGAAAGCTTTGTCATTAGCCTATTGTTTCGGTGTGAGAGAGTACCACTTCATAACTGACCTTCTCCGTGGTCTAGCGTGGTCAACTCTGAGTCAGCATGCTGTATCTGAGCGGGGTATTCATGTTAAACTGCAGCTTGGTATCTTAGTGGACTAGCACTATAAACTCGACATCTGTCCGGAATGGCACAGGCAGACACAGACACGCACGCACGCACGCACGCACGCACGCAGGTACGCACGAACGTCGCTATATAGGGACAATAATCATGAGCGCGACGTAAACCCCATTTCACCTGAGTGTTAGATAGTGTCTTCGTATCGATCCCTCGTATAGGGGTTATCCAGATCAAGTGTGTGTTATCACAACTACCGTGATCTCTCCATGTCTCTCGGCAATGGAGAGTGGGGGCGTGAATACGCTTAGACCCAGATAACATGCTTATGTTTCATGTCTTTTTCTGAACACATATGTAACAAATATGCCAGCTGTATGACAGACACCTGTTATTAAACTAAACTAGGCCAGACTAACCTATGGTCGATATTTTGAGCAAAGTACATCATGACAGGTTTGCCGTAAATGGCGACTATGCTTGTTGTAAAAGGCGACTAACGGGATCGGGTGGTCAGGCTCGCTGACTTGGTTGATGCATGTCATCGATCCCAATTGCGTTGATCGATGCTCATGATATTAATCACTGGATTGTCTGGTCCAAACTTGATTATTTACAGACCGCCGTCATATAGCTGGAATATTGGTGAGTGCGGCGTAAAACAACAAACCAACCAACCAAATCTTCTCAAGTGACGAACACTCAGTCACCATATGTATGCTTTCATAAATACTTTAGTCTGAACCAGAAAATCCAATGATTAATATCATGAGCATCGATCCACGCACTTTGGATCGATGACATGCATCAACCAATATCACGGCGGGGGGCACCAGAAATGGGCTTCACACAATGTAACCATGTCGGGAATTTAACCCAGGTCTTCGGCGTGACGAGCGAACGCTTTAACCACTAGGCTACCCGACCGCCCCCCCCCCCCCCCCCCCCCCCCTCCCCGGCGTACAATAACAAATAAACATAAATACTAGGACCATCTCAGTTCACAACAACCATTTTCTATTTTCATAGTATTATTCGTAATGTGATAAATCCTTTGTGTGCACTCCAATGTCCCACCTATATGACGGCGGTCTGTAAATAATCGATTCTGGACCACAAAAGCCAGTGATTGACATCATGATCATCGAGTTGGGTTACGATGACATGCATCAACCAAGTCAGCCAGCCCGAATACCAAATCCCGTTTGTTGCCTCTTACGACAAGCACGGGTTGTTAAGTTTTGGTTTGGTTTTCTTTGTTGTTTAACCAGCACTCAGCAATATTCCAGCTATATGACGGTGGTCTGTAAATAATCGAGTCTGGACCAGACAATCCAGTGATTGACATCCAGAGCATCGATCCACGCAATTGGGATCGATGACATGCATCAACCAGGTCAGCGGGCTGGCCACCCGATCCCGTTAGTTGCCTCTAACGACAAGCACGGGTTGTAAAGTTTTGGCTGGGTTTTCTTTCTTGTTTACCGCCGCACTTAGCAATATTCCAGCTATATGACGGTGGTCTGTAAATAATCGAGTCTGGACCAGACAATCCAGTGATTGACATCATGAGCATCGATCCACGCAATTTGGATCGATGACATGCATCAACCAAGTCAGCGAGCCTGACCACCCGATCCCGTTAGTTGCCTCTTACGACAAGCACGGGTTGCTGAAAATCAATTCTAACCCGGATCTTCACGGGTGGCTTGGTACCCTCTACGGATATTGAAGTAACAGGTTATATATAACAGTTCAATTTTACATGTCTTTCTTGCACTCCTATGATCTCAGACAAATTCAGTATATATAATAATATACATACGATCGATATTCGAGTAAATATAAGATTAACACGTATAGGTAGCTATAAATATTGTATTTGGTTTATGTAAACAACGCTGTGACCCTATCTGTATGATTAAATAATTCTTTTATTGTTCGTGTGTTGATTCAACGGCAGTCAGAAATATTCTTGTTCTGTCACGACGGTCTGCAAATACTTGACGGTGGGCCAGACAAACTTGTGGTTGATATAATGAGCGACTCCCCTCCATCGAGGTGCGATGATGTCATCAACCAAGTCACCGAGCCAACCGATCACAAATAGTCGACTCCCGCGACAAGCTCGACACAATCACGACGTGTTCACAGCTCGACGATTGATCACATACAGACACCTTATTCTGACATTCAGATGATAGTTTTGTATCAGGAATAAACAATATATATATATATATGCTAACCCTTCCGGAAGGGAATGACAAACCTCACAACTAATTCTTATATATTTATGTCTCAAAATACATTTTTTTTAAATAAACGGAAATAATAAAACATTACTTAATGATCAAATTGCAATATTGCCATTGACAAAGCACGTCGGTGCCTTTATATAAAAGCTTGCAAAACAAATCCCTAATTGATTGTTGCTTAACGCCGCACACACTAATATTCCACCCATATGACGGCGGATAAATTATCGACCCTGGTCAAGACAATCCAGTGATTGATATTATGAGCATCGATTTACGCAACTGGGATACGATGACATGAATCAACCAATTCAGCGAGCCTGACCACCCGATCCCGTTAGTCGCCTCTTATAACCAGCATAGTCGCCTTCTACGGCAAGTATGGGTTATTGATGACCTGTTTTCTACCCGGAACTTCACGGGTGGAAAACACTATTGTACGATTCCCATACGCATGTGTTCATGAATCCCAATCAAATAGTGTTGACACCAGGTGTTCGCGAAAATGTCATTGTATCTTGCTCCACATGTGGCACCCGTCACAACTTGTAATGCAACTTCTAACCCATCACTTATAACTTCAACCGAAGAAAATTTAACTACATTTCCAATAGCGAAATGGATGTTTGCACAGGAAAATCAATATTATACAGGACCGATTGCTCGTATAGAAAACGAAACAACGAAGCATGTCACCTCAACCCAGAATCAATTCACTCTATCAGGTAAAATAAAGTACACATACCTTCCGATCCAATTAACCTAAACAGCAGCAAATACGAGTTCGTGTCCGACACAGAGCGCGACAGTCGACACCAATCGCCCTCAGCACAATAACGGTCACTAGGTGATATCGAAGGAGGAGTGCTTTAAACACAGATCTGTCTAACGGTGACACGCCGTTGACATACGATACAAACCGTCTCGGCTCTCTGACCCCAGATAAAACATAGGTTAACGGCCCTTTTAACTGAAGACGACACTGAGCGGAATGTATTTCAACAGGTGGTTAACGATACAGCTGACAGTTCGAACTGTCGTCTTCAAAGGGGGGGTGTTGTCGATAAGCGCGCTTAAGAGGTCGACGCGTATAGTGTATGGAATATTGATTCAAAATTTGCTGATCAATATGTATGTATAATTCATGACATTCACACATAGGACTGCGGGCAGGAATTTCGTGATTTAATATCTCACAAATATTAGCGGCGCGAATATATTCAATGCTTCACTGTCAATGCTCTTTTGGGCATTATGCCGTTATGTGTACATGTTGGGTGAGGTGAATGAGGTCGAACTTCGCGTTCAAGATTATTGCACCTATTTAGCGACGCTCATGCAAATATGTTTCTCCCGTTTTGTATCAGACTAATGCCAGTTTTATTGTGCCAGCCCAATGAGATACCATGCCGCAGGGTAACATGGATAGCCAACTTGACACAGTATACTGACTCCGAGCCGAATTGTTCTTGTTTTATCCGTTAATGCCGAGCGCCAGGCAGGGCTACAACAAGTACCAACTGTCAACGTTGACCGGGATCGACCATCAAAAAATGAGAGAAAAGGTAGGATTTCTGTTCTCAAGACAGACGCTCTATCAACTAGACCACTCGCCATCCCCTAAAAGGAATCTGGGATGCAATAGGGATCCATGGCTAGCAACCTAAGCTTGTCTTAAGTTTTATTTTGTTTGTTGTTTAACGCCGCACTCAGCAATATTCCAGCTCTATGACGGCGGTCTGTAAATAATCGAGTCTGGACCAGACTGGACGAGTCTGGATCCCGTTAATTAGTCGCCTCTTACGACAAGCATGGTCGCCTTTTACGGCAAGCATGGGTTGCTGAAGAGTCTACTAAATGGATCACACATCTCGGTGACTTGATAGGTTGCATGACATCGTACCTCGATGATGTTGGACGTTGCTCATATCGTGGTAAATAATGAGTAAAGCTTTATCTAGGTTCAACTCGGTATGCACAACGCAGCCGATCCACTACTCAGGTCTCGGTCCGCGCCTGTTTCTGCTACCGCGAGGGCGCTGCGTTTCACCCATGACGCTCAGTCTTCTCCCTGTAGGCGAGAAAGTAAGACTCCCACCCTCCCTCCCTCCCAGGGTTTGTTAGTTTTAAATTATGATTTCATGTTGCACATTTAAGTTAGGGAGGTATTTTACATTGTTTGAACACATAAATAATTTATCTTAATCATAGGGATCAGTGTGATCCCGGCGACGTTTTGGTACGGGGGACTACAATGGCACTAGGAAGGAGGACAATTCCCTGAAGTCCATATTTGGTAAAATGGTGACATAGTGACATGATTCAGGCAAATGCTTTAATAACTGTAAATGGATATTCTCAACTCCTGCTGCAGTATCATGAGCTTGCCCAAGAGCGGCGTGTAACTCATGCAATGAAAATAATCCATTGCTATCTTCACCGTTATTAGAATCAAATTTAACTTTTCCTCTTGTTTCTGACCTCTCTGAAACGTTAGGAAATAATTTGATGATGAAGAATTGTTGGCAAGAGTTTCGCCAAGTTTATTTGCAATTTCAGTTTTATCAGTTATTAATTGGTCACCGTCTTTAAGATGGTGTACAGACGATTTTGGACTATGTTCCACACCGTGGACATGGGTGTGCATGAATTAGTTTTGGAGATATAGTTCCTCTAAGATTGGCGCTTATTTCGTTTATAAGCACGTCGTGACTTGGCACTTGTAATTTTAACATTATTCAAGCAGCTGTACATTGAGTAAGTCTTATCTATTAGAACAAGGCTATAGACCATCTATAACCAAAGTTAGGCCACCTTGCTAGGGATAATGGGGACTTACAGTACATGTAGAAGTGTGTTTGTTCGGACCATATCTCTGAAACTTATAAGTATTCTTTCTTGAAACTGTGCACACACAAAGACCATGGTGCCTTTAAATATTCAAGGATTTTTCGAATTTTTATTTTTTTCCTTTTCCATGGGTTGACTTGACTTTGCTCATATTTATGTGTACCTGACAGAAATACAAAGTTCCAAATCCCAATTCCATGGTGTTGCTTTGATAGCTCAATATCTTTTCTTGTATGCGTAAAGACAGATTAGATAGCAGTTCTCTCAACAAGTTGGACTTATAAGTAACTGTGATAATTGTTCCAACAGGAGGTGTTGTCATCTTCTGATGACTTGTAAGATGATGACTTGTCATTCAAGGAAGGCGAACCGACGAACACACAACATTTATTACGCATGGCAGTGTGTCGTACGTCCACCTGATAATCATCACGAAAACGCGCCCATAGAAAGTTTTAGGCGATTGGTTAGACACTGCATACAAGACAAAGTGTGCAGACCTTTACTAAGAAAGTAAATTCCCAAATATACCATTTGTTACATTGTGTATTCACAGCTTTCGGTGATGGGAGCAGTGCGAATTTACACTTTACGTGATCTGGGCTATCAGTTATCGGACTGAATGGGTTCGATCGCTGACTTTGTGTCCTGGCGATTAAGTGCCTCACTCATCCCAAAAATTACTAATATATGCACTTTGCTCAGAAAGTATTTTAACTTGTTTGATAGGCATTACTTAGAAGTTGACGGGTGAGGATCTATACAGAATTAAAGAAGTTGTTATCCATAAAAGTGTGTCTACCTCAGAAAGTGTTGTCCCAAATATAACATTTGTTACATTAACCACTATCAAAAACGCATTATAGAACCATTACTGACACTATGTCACGTTTTCGAGCTAATCTAGATTTCTTCCGAGTGATTTTTGCTTTGGTTGTATGATGAAGACGCAGAACACGGTCACACTTGTCGTCACTGTCCTGCACATGATTCTGAATATCAAGTGATTAAAGCGTGGATTCAGGTGGTCAGAGATAACTCCTCTTTGACAGATGTCTTCATCACTTTATGTCACTACCAATGTACGATTGTAGTTTCCAATCCCGATTATGTTTCGAGGTTTGCTCGGAGGTTCCCACAGTTTAACCAGCGCTTTTAAATCGTTCACATGTCAATGAACCCATCAAAACTGACGTTTAATTCTTATGCTAACACCTTTTGTATGCTTGTAGAAAAACCCCGTGGCAATGCTTACTGTATGAATACGCCGTGATATTGCTCATCGTACAAATACTGTGACATTGCTTATCGTGTCCTTTGTGTTTGTGACGGGTGCCAACTGTGCGGCGGAAATACGCTCACGCTTTCGCGAATACCGAGTATCATTACTATTTGATAGTTATTCATAAACATGATATGGTCGGAAAGGTACAATCGAATGCTTTCGGCAGAGATTTCTTATGAATATGGAATGAATGTTGTCCCTTTTATTTCTGAAAAGTGTCAACACAAGTGATACATGCTTCTGAGCTTTTGACGAAACTTGGTGAAGCAGAAACATCGACCCAGTTCAAGTAAACATAAAACGCCAACGCCAACGCGTTGTAAACAAATTGCAGTTAGGACGAGTGTTTTGGTAGCTCTCTTTATCAAACACTGTCTGATCGTCTGTTATTGTTGCTTGTCATCCTTGTACATGATTAGTTACTTTTACCAGGTATATATGTGAAGACTCATTTTGATTTCTGCAGACACAGGACATTCATCTCCGGTTGAGGGTTTCGAAAATTACTAATTTAACCCTTGTTATCCAGTGCGTTTTTTTTGCCCAATTACATTCAAACCATCAGTACAGCAACACTGCTTGCGCAATGTCAAGATATTTAGTTTTTGAATGATAAAGATGCATAAATCTTTCAGATAGAAGTTCCCACGGTTGAGTGAGTGAGTGAGTGAGTGAGTGAGTTAAAATTTATAGTCGCATCGGCATTATTTCAGCAATATAGCGACGATACCAAGTTAATTTATTCACAATTGAGTAATGTATGCAGAGTAATATTTAAAAACAATTCATAAAACATATTTGAGCATAACCATTTCATTTTAAACAGTTTTAAAACACGGGCTATAGGCCACCAGTAACCAAATCTATGCCACAACGCTGGGAATCATGGGACTTACAGAACCTCTGCTTCCTTCATGATACCTCAGCAGGATTTGCGTCATCACTTTAGCTACTGGTGGTTGTGCACAATGCGAGCCAATATTAAAAAATAGTTATCAATGAGTTGGTCAAAACACTGGTTGTTGATAGTTACATCGATTATGACAGGATTACGTGTCACAAAGAGGGACAATAATTTTATGGTACATTAACCTCCTGGACAGAGCCTTCAATAATGTCAGTTAATAGTAGCATCACACCAAATTTAGAAACAAGCATTCAAATATTCACATACATATTTGAAATTTATTATACAGACCAATTTCCTTCAAGTAATTTATAATGAGATGCCCGCTGACACGGGAAAAGAGATCTTTCAGATTTTCACTTTGATAATGTGAATCCCTTGCGACTGCAAAGTCCCCACGGTTAGAGTCCGTGCGAACAGTCGAGATAATATGTTTGGTGTTGACCTGGCTGACATGATGTGGGATACTAAGGCAAACAATTATAAGGTGTATGCTATTTACTCATATAGTTATAATGGTTATAAGAAGAAATAGGTTATTGAAGGAGTTATGATTTACAATCAGCTTCAATGAAGTAGGCGATGTTGTAAACATGTTTTCTTCTTTGTTCCTCGAATCTATGATTTTGAGGCCTTAAATGTAGAAATAGAACCACAAATATCTGCAGTTCACTTTTCCTGAATATTAAATAAGGTTGGAAAGGTCATAACACACACTTAATGCATGTCAAATGTGCTATTGGCTGGAAAATCGAACGTGCCATTGTGGCTGGAGCAGTGGCGGCCAGGTTTCGGACTATTTCCGAATTCTGTGAGCCGTTTTCACGAGCGCCGTTAGCTGGGATAATTCATGTAAAGTTTCAACTGACAAGTTCCGGTGGACATATGGGAGAAAACCCGCCACGTATATCCCCCATTGATGTGTGACTCACTCGCCCTTAAGCACAACTCGTTGTCATTAGTAAAAAGAAGGTTACCCTCTAGATAGATTTACAAAATTCATTGAGCTGTAACAGATAGCTGGTAATTATTCAAATAATACCTTTGGGCTAAGACCTAAGATGAACTATTTTGGTGATAAGATTTTTATATAGTGTTTCCTGTATCCTCTAGCATTTGTGTTGGGACACTCAAACACTGCTGATTTGGTATTCTTTCACAGGGGATTAGCTGCAACGATAACTATAAAACAGAAAATAAATGGTTTCTATAAGGATTGGAAAGAAAAAGAGGTAAGCAATTATAAATATCTTTTGATGAAATGAGGCATTTTCTTTCGTATGATTACTTCAAAGAAACCTTTCAAATTATAACACAATTTCTAAAATACACGAGTATACTGAACTTGTTAAACAATACTCACTAAACATTTTCCAAAAGAAATTCCCTATTCGATCTTATTAACGCATTTCACTTACTTAAAACACCAAAAGGAAGTCAACATTATTTCTCAACCCCACTACAAACCAACTGTGCCAGCAATCAACACTTCGGTAAATTGGACAGTCTACAAGAAATTAAGA